TGTCATGCATAGAGAATTTATGTTTATATATAATATGCATAAATCTACTATCTATGAATATACCGAATTTGCTTTGGATTGAGGTTGTTCAGTGCCAATATTTGGAGGACTCTGCTTCCCAGATGTCAGTGAGCCTTTAGCTGAAATCACTTCAGAGTTTTTCTGTTTAGAAGCTTTTACGGAAGAAGGGAATCTGCAATGTATTTAAGATGTCAGTCTCAATAGTGTTGTGTGCATTTTTGTACAACAGAAAATAAACAAAATTACAGACTTAGATTGAAATGCACAAGACTATAAACACTTTGGTCAAAAGAAGTGTTTCCCTCTTTGCAGACAACTAGGCTCAAACAAGAATTATTTCGTAGCATGTGTAATAAGATTAAATAGAAAGAATATATTGACACGATGTTTCCAACACAAACATAAACATCTCTCTCTACTGAAACACTACACACAAGCAAGCAAAATTCCATATATTATTGTGTGGCTGGCAAGAATGTAGCCTCATCAATGAATCAATGATGAATATCAAACCATATATAATATCATGCAACCTTACAAAAGCTTTCTAATAACAAAGGATGAAAGCTAGGCTGACAATTAGTGGCTTCAAAATACCACAGATGGCATGTGTAAAAGTCTTAGCTGACTAATAGATATTTTACAAATTTAGTATTAGTCCCATTAATAACTTACAAGTCATAATACCATATAATTGACATTATAACTAACTAAATATGACGCAAACAAGAATAAATTGGTCTTATGTGTTTTGTGAATGAAATGAAACTCTACTTTGTAAGTGGTACAAATTTTTTCAGTTATTTAAGATTAGCCAACACCACAAAAACTTAATCAAATAAGTTGTGCCCATGAAAGACATTTAGATAAGCCAGATCCTATCCAAGATGTTATTCATAGTTGTAAAAGACCTAATTATTCTACACAAGCAGGCAAGTTCACCGCAGTCGAAGGGCCTATGGCAAACCTGACTAGAACCTAGCAACCGAAACACCACATAGAACACATCCAATGTCCCATCAGCTGCAAAGTATAATGATATTAGCATTGAAAAAACTACAAAACCTTCCCCAATATTGCATGCACCTCTAAGAAAATTGACCAACTTATGATACATAACCAACACTCGAGAAGGTTAAAAATTTTGTAAAAAAAGAACGTGTCCTAACAGTTTTGCACTACACAGTTTAGGGGAGACCACTGAAGCTGAACAGGGAATGGGCCTTCTGAATAAGGTGGATCTACCACTAGGCTGTTCCTATTTGATAGTAATAGTATTGGACACTCCTGCACATGCACGGTTGATGGAGATTAAAAAAATTCCTTAAGGATCTAATACAAAAATCTTTCACATATTAATACAATACTCACATGGAACAAGTAAACAGAGTAGTGACAATAAAACAGAAAGACGTAGTCTAAAAAGCCAAACCTTATTAGAATTGTCTTCCTGCCAGAGAAAAGTTCACACGCTTTCAATTCATTAACCTGAAAACAAATGAA